GTTCCGATTAAAGGACACATGCCATACACCGAGGACAAATTATTTCGGTATTTTACGACCTTCGGCCCGATAACCAGATATGCCGAGGACCTTGTCCTGCTTATGAAAGTAATAACGTCGAAATGCAATCACGACCTACGTTTGGATGTGCCCGTGGACTTGAGGCAAGTGAGGGTCTACTATCGATTAGGTTTGAACGAGTCATTCGGCATATTACCAATACCACCGGAAATCAAGGAGTGCATTCTCAAAGCCGCTAACCATTTCACGCGATTCGATGTTCACGCGGAGAAGGTACGATCGTGATATAACTGTATGGTGATAACGGTGATATGGTACGCAAGATTTAACGTTAACGTTACTTGATGTTACAGTTACCAATAGACTGGCCAGAAATAATCACCGAAATTGTGCTGACGGGATTCTTAAATATAAAGAAGCTGCCACAGCTGTTGTCTGACGTCAACAATCCTAAGGTATCGATATTAGCCTTCATTCTATATTACTGCAAATACAAATTTCAAATAATTTAGACTGAATCGTTTTTTGCTACATTTGTTATCCAGTTTCGTGTTCCGAAACTATTCTAAAATGTGTCGAGTGTAAAATAAAAATTTTTATTAGAAATGAAAAGTAAAAAGGAATAAAAGAAAAAGGAGAATAAAAGAAAACTTATGAAAATAAAATGGAAAGGGAAGGATTAGGAAAGAGAAAGGATAATCCATCTCTCCGTACGACGCACATATGGCGTTGGCGGCATGTGAAAAGGGCAGAATGTCAACGCCATCCATATGCGTGCCGACATCGAGCGTGTTAAAATATAGCCTTAAACGAAGATAGAGAAGGAAAATTTAATTGATCACTTAATTGTCCATCACGTTCGTGCTCTTTCCATATCGTAATAAAAAATCGCGAACGTGTTTTATCGTGAAATATTATGTATTGCAAGGAACATGCGTGGAACGTGTTATCTTATCGATATTAATAATGATTAATTTTTATTGGAATATCATAAGATTTATTGAGAAATAAAATGGGAGAATTTTTACGACGTGCACAAAGTTCATAAATAATATGATTAACTTTGAGTTTCGTAATTAGCGTAATTAATCTTGATATTATATGTTTGTCTTGTTGCCACAGCATCAGAAAAATGCGCAGATCGAGATGTTGAAAGCTTTCTTCGGCTTGTCGCAACACACAAAACAGTTGCTCCTCTTCGACATATCTATCAAAACGCATTTTCCATTTACGGAATCAGAAATATTGCACTATACAGAAAAAGGAAAGGAGATTGGACAGAAGCTGCTGGTTAGTGTCTCGAAAATCTAATACAATTATTACGTCTGTATAAATCAATTTTAATATCCGAGACTTTGTTTCTCTCTCTCTCTCTCTCT